CTCCTGGAAGGTGGCCTTTGGGGCTTCCTCCCAGATGCCAGACTTTGTGTGTCTCACTGGATTTCCTCTCCTGATCTGCAGTGAAGGCTGCCCCAGCCACATAGACGGGCAAGGTCCCAGATGTGACAGCCATCAGCTGTGAGAGAGCAGTTAACCGACAGCGCCCAGCTCTAGCCCTTCAGGATCTGCAGCAGCATGGGAGCAGAGACGTTGTCTTCCCGGGAAGCCCCCAGCCAATGATCTAGGAAATTAGCACAGCTGGGGTACTAGCACCTGGCCCAGTTTCTTTTCTCTTTTTCTGTTCCCTTTTTTGGTATGTTTTCACCTTTTTTTTTTTTTTTTAATGATAGAGTGTGTGCCCACATGCATAAGAAAGAGCGAGGAAGAGAAGCATCCTCCACAAGGCTCTGTCACTCTGCGACCTCCTTCCTCCAGTCCTCCAGCTCATTAGGATCCTGGGCACACACACACATATGCCTGGTGTGTTTCAGACCAGCCAGGCCAGGATTCAAGTTGAAGTTGGCATATGACTTCCAGCTCTGCAGTTCTAATATGCTACCAGTGTGCTACAGAGGCTGGGCTGGCCTGGCCATTTCTGCCCAACTGGGACCCCCTTCTGGGCAGCCTTTGCCCCAGAACTCCCTATTGGCTGGCTCCAACCTTCCTCCTCTACCCGCCACCCTGCCCACCTTAGATATCAGACCTGAAACATGGCCTGCAAGCTTTCCCTGCCTGGCCCAGCTTCTCCCCCTTTATCATTCACTGGCATTTCTTCCAATACATTTTCTGTACTTCTAACTCCATCTTGGCAGCAGCTTCCTAGAAGACTCAACTGATACACAGGCTCTGGCTGGGTGGCCAGACCCCGTTCTTCCCTCCTCTTCCCGCTTCTCAAGCATGCTCCATTACCCCTCCCTGCCTTTCCCATGAGCATGCTCTGTTCAGGGTCTCGACCTGTGCCTGGCACACAATCACTATTTGTTTTTCAAGGAACACAGAAGGCTCCGGAGCTAGGCACTGCCCGCCCCAGTCTCCTGGCACAGAGAGCTCTCTGGGCGAGGCTAGGAGTGCCAGCTCCAGGGGCAGAGGAAGGGCACCCTCAGGCTGTGGGGAGAAAGGCTCTGAGGTGGGGACTGAGACTCTTCTGGGCCCTGTGCGGAGGTGGCTGGCGGTGAGATGGGGGATCTCCCGGCCATTGGGGAAGTCAGACCTGGCCTTGTTCTCGATCTGCTGGATGATTCCTAGCAACCACTCCCTTCTCCGGCTTCACTCCATACATCTTGACTATGGGAGGGGGAGCCCCACCCTTGCCTATCTCCCCAGGGAGAGGCAGAGGTTGTGAGCCTCAAATGAGGTCACGGCTGGGAAAATGTGAACAGGAAAGGGCAGGGCACACTGAGGGCTCTGTGGTCTAGGTCTGGGGTCTTGGTGTGGAGGGGAAGCAGGCAGAGAAAGGAAGAGAGAAGGATTAGAGAGAGGGACGAGGGGGATGCAAGAGGTGAGAGGGAGAGCTATGCGAATGCACATACACAAAGAAACAGAGACAGAGGACGAAATGAGAGATCCAAGACAAGGGAGTAAAGGAGGGATAGAAGAAAAGGAGGAGAGGAGAGAAATCAAAGGACACAGAAGAACAGGAAGAGGAAAACCAAGTGGCGGGGAGGAAATGAGGGAAGCTGGGCCAGTCTCTTGGCCTGGTGGTTAAGGAAATCTTGGGTCCCACATGGCCAACCATGAAGGATGAATTCCAGCTTAATGGTTTGAACAAAACTCTGACAGGATAGAGAAATGGAGAAACAGGACAGCCAGGTGGTGTGGTGGTTAAGGTGCTGGATCCCACATGGCTGACTGTGCAGTTCAAGTTCCAGACCTGATGGCCAAAATTCTGAGAAGGGACTGGAGAAGGGATTATGGCCCCCCTGGGAGGTGCTCTCTCACTTTCCTTCTTCCTCTGCCTCCTGTGAGCACATGAGCCCTAAAGCAAATTTAAAATAAAGGGCCACAAGGTAATGTGGTAGTTAGGGGCACTGGACTCCCACATGGCAGACTGTGGTTCGAATCCTGGACCTGGCAGCTTGTTTTCTCACTTTCCTTCCTTCTCTCTCCCTCTGGTCACATTAATAATAATAATAATAATAATAATAATGGGCCAGCAGGTGGTGTGGTGATTGTGCTGCTGGACTCCCACATGGCTGACTTCAGTTCAAGTCCTAGACCTGGCAGCTATCTTTCTCACTTTCCATTTCTCTCTCTGCTCAAATTAAAAAATAAATAATAAGAACAAATACAATTAAATAAATGGATAATTCCTTAGAAAAAGAAAATAATTCTTAAAAAAAAAATAAAGTAAATGGAGGAGAAGGGATCATGGTGTGATCACACCTGACTGGGGGAGGTGCCGTTCCCCTCACCCTCACCCCGTCACTCTCTGGCAAGCACATGAATCCTCTGACAGTTAAAAACATGAGACAAAAAGGAAAAAGACAGGTGGGGAGAGAAGCACAGAGAGCTGCTTTTAGAGATGGAAGGGCCTACGGGGCCTGACAGGGTGCAGTGGTGAAACATGATGCTCTGTGAGACTGACCCACGTGGGAAGGTTCTGAGTTCTCATCCAGTATCAGGACCCCGTGGAGACAAACAGAGATGGAAGGACAGAATAAAGAGAAAGAGAAATAGGAAGGCAAAGAGATTGAGCGAGAGAATGAAACAGGGAGCACCAGTGTAAAACTATATGGAGAGAAAGAAAGAAAAAAAGGAAATGAGATGGAGAGTTAGAGAGAGACAGAAAGAGACAGAGACATGGAGTAGACAGAAAGAAATGAAAATCAGAGCCAGAGAGAGAACGAGACTGAGAGGCAGAGGGATGTGAGAGAAGCCAAAAGGAGACAGAGTGATGCGGACTGACGGAGGCAGATGGGAAGAGACACTCCGACAGTGAGGAAGGCGAGAACGCTGTTCCCCACAGCCCCCACACTCACTCCCGCTGGCATGCACTGGGCACGCCCCACCACCAGGCAGGTGGGCACCCAGAGATGAGCCTCAGGCTTCCTGTCTGCAGGGCCCAACCTGTCTTTCCTGCTGGTTTGGCCCCTCCACGCTCGCTGAAGACCTCTGAGGGGCACCTGGCAGGAGGCACGGTGCTGAGCCTGTGTCCTGCTGGCTGGCTGGTGAGGCTGCCTGGGTGGAGTCTGAATAGAAAGCCCAGTGACACCCTTCCTTGAGGCCTGAGCAGGCCCCAGCCTGCCTCCCTTTGGGGTGCAGACAGGAAGGGACCTCAAAGGTCAATGCTACTGTACCTCTCACTGTACCGAAGAGGAAATTGAGGGCCAGAAAGGGGCAGGGACAAGCCCAATGCTACACAGCCCAGTAGTGGTCTGGCCACTAATTCTACAGTCCCCATCCGGGCAGAGCTGCTATGGCCTGAAAACCTTGGAACTTGCTCTCCCCTGGAAAAATGGCTTCCTGCCCAGGGGTGGCCTGTGGCTTTGGTGGCAGTGTTCTGGAAGCCACGTACCGTGCTGAGTGTTACCTAACATCCTGTGAGGTGATGACTGTGACCACACCTGTCCTACAGACGAGGAAACCAAGGCTCAGGGGAGTTAAGACTTCTAAGCTTAGAGTCACACAGCAGTGGGACCCAAGTCGGGTCTGCCTGACCTCGACCGTGGGGTCCTTGCTGTTATGCCTCCGAGCCTCCCTGGCTGGCTCCCAGGGAAGAGCTCTGAAATATGGAAAAAGGAGGCAGAGCTGAGGGAGGGCAGTTCTGACAACAGGAGAAAGTTCCAGAATAATCAGAATAATGTTTTTCTTTCTCTTTCTACTTTGTTTCTTTCTTTTTCCTTCCTTCCTTCTTTCCTTCCTTCCTTCTTTCTCTCTCTCTCTTTCTTTCTCTTTCTCTCTTTCTATTTCAGAGAGATTTTTGCTACAGCTTGCATGTGCTTTCTGGAGACACAGAGAGAGACACAGTGAGAGAAAGTGAGAAATCACCCTATCCCCCACCCACCCAGGAGGGATGGCCGCACTGCAATCCTTTCTCCTCCAAGCATGCACACACACACGCCGGGTACAAGTTTCAAGTTTCCAGGTCCGGGGCTGGAACCATGGTCAGCCATGTGGAAGTCCAGATCCTTAACCACTATGCCATGTGCTGGCCCTCCAGAGTAACGGTTTTCAAACACCAGGATTTTTCCCAGAAGGATTCATCTTTAATCAGTTGTGTCCCTGCTCTTGGGAACCCCAAGTACCACTCCTGTCATCACTCGGCACTCATTTCTCTGAAGAGGAGTTTGGTCCCTCCAGAGAGGGACCACCGCTGTCTTTCCCTTCTCTTTGCTGTCCCCAGGTATAACACATTAAAATAAAAAGTGTATTAATTTCTTCCATGAACAAGAGAGGTGGAGACAGAAAGACAGTACCGCCAACAGAGTCTCGATGGATGCTGCAATCGACCCCCAGCTTCAGACAGCACTGGGTCACAGGCACACATGCCCAGTGTACTCAGGGGGGTCTCTGGACACGAACCAGGAACCTTCCCACGTGGGTCAGCCTTACAGCGTCCCGTTCTGCTGTGGGACAGTAGAACAGTAGTTCTACTTCCAGACCCCTGGCTTAGGCCCAAGGCCCGGGCTGATTCCAAACCACAGAGATGGGCTCGCTTACCTTGCAGCCCCCTCAACCCCCCACTGCACACCAAGCGTCCCCTCCCCAGCTCTGCCACTGGCCCCGCCTCACTAGGGCTCATCCTCCTGGAGGAGACTCTCGTGGAGATTAGGGGGCATATGGAGAAAAAGCAGGCTGGCGGGCAGATAGGTAAGTTGCCATCCCCGCTAGCCCTGGCTCCCAGCCAAGCCCCCAAGAGCTGCACTCCGAGCCCCTAACTCATCTCTAGTTGAGATCTGTCACCTGAAGTGCTCCACCCTCACTGAGCCGCAATGTCTTCATCTCACCATGGGCGCAACACTCCTGGTTCATCAGATGGCTGGACGCTGGGCTTCAGGACACAGGAACAGGTGCTAGGTATAGATAGCTCCCTACCCCCTTCATCCTCACCCCCAGACCTGAGCTGCAGAGAGCATTGACCACTCTCCGGAGTCTATGGGAGGCGTGCTAAGGACCAGAGGAGAGTCCAGCAGCGGTCAGTGAGCCCTGAGCAGCAGGGAGACTGGAACAACCAGCAGAGGGCACCAGTGAATCACCCCCGATGGAGGGACACCTGTCTCTTGGGGCATGCATGATGCCTGCTGCATCTCCCAAATGGCCACAGTTCAGGATAGAGGTGACAGCAGGCCTATCCCACCAAGGCCACTCCATGTAACTGTGAGTACCCCAAGTTCCTCCAAATCCAGCGCATCAGCCCTGTCCTGTGCTCTCTAGGCCTGCTCTGGCTGTGTCTCTCCAGGGCATCAGACCAGCAGGATTGTGCTTGGAGTCCCAGGAAATGGAGCGCCCTCCAGCTCTGTCCCCTGGATATGCCATGAGCCCTTTTAAGAACCAGGACTCGGGGGAGCACCCTAGGTGACCTGGAACGGGCACTTCCTTTCCCAGAAGCCTTGAGAGTTCCCAGGGTGGTAGCCCAGCCCTCACCTCCTTCAACTAGCCCTGGCAGCGGTCCAGGTCCGTGGCGCCCTGCCAGCTGATGGAGGAGAGTGTGGCAGCCAGCACTGGAGTAGGGGGACAAGGATGGGTGCTGGGAGCTTCTCCACACCCCTGCACCCTCTCCACTCCTAGGGAGATTCAGAGCCCGGCCACGCCCCCACCCCCACAGCCCCAGGCTTGGCTCCCACAGTTCCCATCCAGGCAGGGCTGCAAGTAGGTGACTGGATGGCTGCTGAGAAGGGCAGGGTGAATGGGGGTGTGGACCTGGGCAAGTGCACTGCTCAGCCAATCAGCGACCTGCCCGGCCGGTGGATTCGGTTACAAGCCCAAGATCACCCCATACTCCAGCCTCTCTCCTCCTCCGCCTGCAGCTCCATTCATTGGCCCCGCCACTCTGGGGCCTGCTGGGCACTGCTTCCGTTCAGGCCGCTCAGCTGCTGCCTCGTGGGGCCACCCCGGGCAGGCATCCTGGGGGCTTTGTCTGACCGGGCTGGGCCAGGACAGAATGGGGGTTCTGCCAGCGCTCTTGAGATTGCTGGGCTTTCTGGGGGTAGCTCTGGGGGGCTCCCCTGCTCTCCACTGGGACAGTACCTCCTGCTACCTGGACAGACCCATCCCTGGCAGCCCCCTGAGGTCCCTGAGCTTCCTGGGCAAGGATGCCCAGGGAGCGGCCTTGTACCACGCCCACTGGGATGCGCGCAGGAGGCTGCGGGGTTGTAGCCGGCAGGATGAACCCGAGCTCACTGCTGTTTTCGCTGCCGTCTGTGCTCACGAGAGCACTCGGGGCTCCTTCATCCACACCCCTGGACCTGAGCTGCAGAGAGCTCTGAACACCCTTCGGAGTCAGTGGGACACCTGCCGAGAGCCTGAGGAGAGGCCGGCAGGGGCCAGAGAGAAGCGAGCGGCAGGGCGGAGCGGAGCGCACCAGCGAAGGAGGAGAGGCTGGACCATGCCGGGCACGCTGTGGTGTGGCGTCGGGGACTCCGCTGGGAACTCCTCGCAGCTGGGTGAGCCAACGGGGTGTGGGCTAGTGGGCTGGTGGAGAAAACACAGGTTTCAGCCCTGACTCCCACCCTCCCAGACTGGGTGTCCTTGGAGGGGGGTGACTTAACCACTCTGAACCTCGTTTTTCTTATCTGTTAATTTCCTTATCTGTAAAATGGGGTGACCAAAAGTTTCATCATGGGACTCTTAAATGAGGTCATGGATGGGAACGGTCTTACTCAAACCTGGGAGTCCCTATTAATCACCATTCTGGGGACTGGGCAGATTGGGGTGGATCGGGTTGGCTGAGTCAAAAAACCACTAGCAAGGGGAGGCTTAGAACAGGTGCTGAGACTCAGAGGCTTGGGTACAAATCTCGAGTCAGCACATCCAAGCTGAGCAAGTCAGCTCCGCGCTGAAGCCGTTTCTTCACCTGTGAGACGAAGGTGATGCCTCCCCTGCAGGAAT